GCAGACAAAAGAGGATAAAAGAGAGCAGGTGTGGTGTCGTGGTTAAGAGCACGGGACTGGGACTCAGGTGATCCGGGTTCAAGTCCCCGCTCAGCCATGGAGCCCACTGGGTGATTTTGGGCCAGTCACAGACTCTCAGCCCAGCCTCCCTCACAGGGTTGTTGTTGTGGGGAGAAGATGGAGGAGGAGAATGAGGTAAGCTGCCTTGAGCCCTTTGAGGAAAAAGGCAGGATATAAATCGGAAAATAAATAAATAAATAAATAAGAGGGCACTAGTTTGTGTAAAACTGCCCGTGTTCACATTGTGTGTTTGTGCAAATTAATAACTGTGCACGCAATACTTCCCAGCGCAGCAGGGGACGCTGTGACTGGAAGGCCTGCGTTGTCCATGCTGTTGAGCGGGCCGTGTGTGGAAGGGCAGCGCCAGGTCCCCTTCAGCTCCTCGTTCAGGTGGTTCTTTGGCTTTGCACCTTATTGGGATGGGACAGCCCCTCAAATAGAGGACCCCCTCAAAGAGACGCTGGTCCTCTGGCAAGCCTTTGAAGAAGAGAGGATAATGGTCAGCAGAGGAGGACACGTGGCCACCCGACAGGGCTGTGGCACAACGCTGGCTCCAGAAACCAGCACGGCGGCTGCCTGGGTACCCCATCGCCAGGCAAAGAGGCCAGCCTTGCTTTTCCAGAGCCAGTCCAAGATATTTTCCTCCCGGAGGCAAAGGAGAAGGCAACAAATAGCAGAAGGAAGCACAGGATCCCAGAAGAGTAGAGACGGAAGGGGCGGGAAGTAGACTGGTCCACCCGCTGCTGGCGCAGGACCCCCATGCCAGCATCTCGCTCAGAGGACCGGCACTGCTCATTTTGTACCTGAACCGTACGCTGAATGGGCAGGTGCAGGGCTCACCTGCTCGCAGTCTCCCACAGTGTGGTGAAATGTACCACATTTCTCTTTAAATTATAATAAGTAATCCAACATTTGCATTAGCTGATTTATATTGGCAGCTTTTGCGTTTCCTCTGTTTTGGGGATTTCTAAGTGGCCGTCCTAGCCATCCGGTCCAGCGTCCTGCTGCTCAAAGTAGCCACGCAGACGCTTCTGGGGACCTGAGCAGGGAGGGCCCACAGTGCTCCCCAGGTGCAACTCTCCTTCTCCACTTTCCCCCTCGCCGTTCCGTGCTTTAAGCGGGCTTCCACCTCTCTGAGACGTTAGAGCAGGCAGGCAAAAAAACGCTTCCCGCAAAACGGCCAGCCCCGTTCCAAAATGAGTGTGTGTGCCGCTTCGCATTTTAGGCACCCTTAAATTTTTAGCACCATCATAATGGCAGGAATGAAAAATAAATATTTGCCGCAGCTGCCCGAACGCCAAAATGGTTTGCTTGGGAATAAGCAGCTTTGATTTCAGGGTGCAACCCTGCGCATTGTCCTTTCCAGGCTTGCAAGCTTCTGAACACAGAGGCTGAGGGGACCCTCCCAGACTGACAGCTGGCATCATCATCATCCTCATCACCATCAAAACATTTATATGCTGCCTATTGTGCCATGGCATCTCTGGGCAGTTCACAATCCAACAATTAAAAAACGTTATAAAATCTGAAAAGAACAACCACACATTAATAAATATTAACAATCCCAAAAATAAACAACATTATTTAAAAATACAAATAGTGGTTTGGTGGCTTCTAGTAAATGTTAAATGTTTTTTGTTAAAGGCAGGTCTTCACCTGGTGCCAAGGAAGGCGCCCAGCACGCATCCTTCGGGGGAGCTTTCCAAATGCGGGGAGCAGCAGCAGAAGCGGCCCCCCTCCTGCTTCGTAAGGGACGGCTCACGCAGGAAGGCCTCCTGCATAGATCTCAAAGGGGAGAGAGGCAGAAGAGAGGGACGGTGTGCTGAGAAGCGCCCGTGCTGGGTGGACGGCGAGGAGCACGTCCACCCCGGGCCCAGGAGGGGAGCCTGGCTTTTTCGCGGCTGCTGCAACATCTGCAGTTGTTGCGTGGGGCCTGGATATTGGCCCTGAGGTTCCCCACCGGAGATGCGGCATGTGGGGTGCAGCCACAGGGCTTTCTTATGCCTGGCCTGAACCCACTGCCAGCTGGCTGTGAAGGGTGACCACGGATCGCCTGGGGCTTGAGGGCCACCCATCTCTGGCTGTCCAGCCTCCTCAGAAAGACCTTTGTCCAAGATTCCTGAGAACCTGCTCCAAGCAGAGAAGATGGCGCCAAGCAAGACAGCGCATGCCCCGAATTTGCCCTGGGAGCTTTACAGCATCACAGCTCATGCTGCTGCCCCAGTCTAGACTGACCGACTGACGTTAGGCTTAGCAATGGCACTCGGGGCCCCAACTCAGTGTAATTCTCTATTTCCTTCCTCCATGACATATTTTCTGTGTTTTCACTTCCTCTTCTCCCTTTCCTTACTTCCTGTTAAACTTCAGTTTCATGTTGAGTGTACTGAATCTAGTAAATGAGATTTGTAGAAGGGAAAAATCAGAGAATCTTCATAAAACGAGTCATAGTCATAAAAGAAAAACAAACATCGCAAAACCCACAAAACTCTGATGAAATGATATTCCATAAGACAGAAATATTGGCAGCTCAGCATCTGGAACGCTTTCTACTTTACTCAGAGTAGACACCTTCTCATTATAATGCCTTTTAATAATATTTATCTGCAAACCTGTCCAGTTATTAAGATCTGCAGGTGAAGTACTTCTGAAGGACTACCTGCAGGACTTCTTACTTGGGCAGAACTGAAAGGAAAGGATTGGCGACCCCATATTTCTGCAATGATCTTCTTTCAGAGTCAATTTTGTCCTTGGCTCTTTGAAATGGCGATCAGACACATCTTTCCAGCTTGGTCTTTTCCGTGCGCCATCCACATGGCTGCCCATAACTCTCCAAAGATCACAGGCATCCTATGGAAGGTGGGAGAAGGAGGTAGGAGAGAGGCTAGGTCCGTCACTCCAGTCCACTCTCCTTGGCTGGTTTTGGATGGCTGACTTTGGCTGTCTAAATGTTTTCCCCTTCCTTGCAAGGAGGAGAGGCTGAAGGTCTGCCGGGATTCCTTGAAGGATGCTAGGCCCTTGCTCCTCTTCTTCTCGCTCCGTAGAATGTTGGCTTCTCCACTTCTCCCATGGTAGCTTTGAAGATGGTCTTCCATCTCGGGAGCCCCCCTGGCACTGAGAGACCCATGCAGGCTGTGACCCACTTGCAGTGACTTCCAGAGAAAATGGCATAGAGCCATTTATAGCAACCACTTTCTTGGCTCACGCAGGTCTATTTCCTCCCTCTCTTCCTTTCTGCTTTGCTGGAGACAGAATCCTGCACAAACTGGCACATACCAGAGGATCTAGGGAAAATGTTCTTTCATGCATATACGATCCAATCACAGAAGCTCTCTGGGTGATTCACAACCATTAAATTCAGCACAAAAGGCATTGTAAATCTTTGTGGCTACAGCATGGAATGTGTTGGTCTAGGGCTTGGGAGATCCGGTTCTATTCCCCACTGAGCTGTGAAGCTCACCAGGTGATTGGGCCAGCCCCCAACTTTCAGCCTATCCTACCTTACATAGCAAGTGCTATTTTGGGATGCCTTACTAGAAGTATTACATCCAGATCACAAGAAGCAATAGTTTTCCTATTCCAATACACTAGACTTCCTCATCTGGAATACTGTGTCCAGTTCTGGGCACCAAGATTTAAGAAAGATGCAGGTAAATTAGAAAGAGTCCAGAGGAGGGCAACAGAAATGACCCAGGTTTGGAAACACTGCCCTGTGAGGGGCGACAGAGAGAACTGGGCATGTTCAGCCTTGAGAAGAGAAGGCTGAGAGGAACATGATATCACCCCATAAGTCCCTCAAAGGCTGTCACAAAGAGGGAGGTCAAGATCTCTTCTCACTGATACCAGAATGTAGGACACAGAATAACCAAGTCAAGTTGTGGCCAACCAGATTCAGGCTGGACATCAGGAAAAGCTTCCTCATGGTCAGAGCAATAGGATAGTGGAACTGGCTGCCTGGAGAGGGGGTGCTCTCCCACAGTGGGGACATTCAGAAAGAAACTGGACAGCCATCTGAGTGGGAGGGTGTAACGTGGTGTCCTGCAACAGCAGGGGGTGGACCTGATGGCCTTCTTGGCCCCTTCCAACCCCACTATTCTATGACTCTAAGATCCCAAGGTCAGCCTAAATTGGATTCCAGAGGTGTGGGATTATCTTTTTGCCCATTTTCTCATCAGTTTTATCTTCTCTAGTTCTCTGGATTTTTTTTTTTTTAATCTGATTCTTTGCTAACCCCAGTGAGCTTTCTCACCTTCTGGAGGCTGCTCCCAAAATTCAGTGGAATTCCTTGATCATTACCTTTTCAAGCTAACAGCTTCTAGTTAGAGTTCTATTTAATTTCAAGATAGAGTGACCATGCCTAAACAGAATAGGGCAGAAATAATGGAACTAGTGTGCAAAACAGCAGGTAACTTTCATAACTGTGGACTAAACTTCAGCTGGTGGCCATCAACCTCTGTTTTTGCAGCCCCACAAGAAGTCTGGGAGACTCAAGTCTGAAAGGGTGATATAATCTTGGCCACGGCCCGTAGATCTGTACCAGACCCCTGTTCTGCTTTTCCTGAGGACACCCGTAATCCTAGATCCTCTTCTGAAGGGCTTGACCATTGCAAAAGTTCAAGTTCTTCGTGGGCCTTGATTTTTCACGACGGTGAAACCATTCTGTTTTCACTTCTGCAAACAAGAGGGGCAGCCACGCTCCTACACAGCTATTCTTTGGTGTCTTCCTGTCTTTTCCTTGGAAAGAAGAAGTGAGATGTTATCTTTTTCATTGAATTATGTAAACAGATATTTCTCTGGAATTTCACATCATGTAGGTGGAGATCAGTAGGACAGGGGTAGGAGAAGAGGAGATCCCGGGGTATATTAATCTCACAGCTTTGCTCCTGAGGCTACACTTTTCAGCTTCCAGAAGGGAGGAAAGGGACCAGCAACCATTGGCCAGACCTCAAGGACACCAGCCATGGCCAGTCTGAAGACCACTCTGCTGATGGCTCTGATCTTAGCTGTCTTTTATCAACAAATAGAAGGTCAGTGATTGATCCTCTCCTCTCCTTTCCTCTCCTCTCCAACAGTGCTGTAATATTTAAGATGTGCAAAAATATCAAAATCTTGCAGCCTGGGAGAAAACTCCAGAGCCCAGGGGAAGGCTGTGTCACCCGCAGGAGCTAGATGGGCAAGAAACGCTTCTTGCAGCAAGCAAGTTTCTTCATCATTGGGTCCGTGTAGCCTTGCGTTGCTCACATACCACAGCAGCTCCCGGGGTTTTAGGCAGGCATATTCCTAACCTCAAGCCTGAACCTATGTGCAAAACCCAGCGCACCTCTTTCACTACCGAGCTCCAGCCTCATCCATGCCGTTACAGGCACAGCTGTAGGGCTGCTTGCAAACTTGGTAGAATTCTGGTGCACAGTGTAGTAATGGCATCTGGTACCGACCAGAGACTTTGCCTTGGTCCGTCTGGACCAGTATTGTCAACACTGGCAGGCAGAAGCTCTCCAGAGCTTCAGCAAAGGGTCCTTCCAGCCCTACCTGGACATGAACCTGGAACAGCCGCCATGTTCCTGAGTCACGCATCACTCGCTGCATGGCTTCCTCACTGGGCAAAGCTTGGTGAACCAGAACCCTGTGGGGCTTACCTGTGAGTTGGTGTCAGGTGCCTCGAAGCGGATACTCAGGTGTGCATTTGTGGTAATGACTTGCCTTCCGTTCTCTTGCCTCTTTCCCCACCCCATTAGCAACATGCGTCACCTGTCCAAAGGAGTGTTGCTTTGATGTGAAGAAGGGATTACCTATTCCCCGCAGAAACCTGGACTTTTACTACAAGACGTCCAGCGAATGTCACTTAAAAGCTGTTGTGTAAGTACAAAACAAGCATCTCTCTGATTATTAGTCTGTCTCCCAGCCTTCAGCGCAGGGACAATCCGTCAGAGGCAAACATGGGGTCTCCAACTTTTGCCCACCAAGCACCCCGGTTTTCAAAATGCTTTTAATGACTTGAGAAGTTGGGCGTTGCACAGTCCTGCAGCACTGTCCTTATCTGGGTTCAGCCTGGCTGATTTGCGTTGGGCAGCTCCACCCCTGCCTCACATTTAGGGCTGTGGGCAGGTCCTTCCACTCCCACCAGACTGCCTCCAGGGAAGGTCTCTCTGGAGCAGCCATTGCTGAAGAGCCAAGCCTCCCTCCATCCCGCTTTGGCTGCACGGCACCCGCTCAGCGTGTCAGAGCTGTCCGCTGACCCAACGAGGTTGCAATAAGCAACATTTTATGAAGTCTCCACAACAAATAGTTAACTGCACATTTGTGAAACTGGTCCATGGAAGGCATATTCCATTGGGGAACAGCGGAACATGTCAAAAGCATCAAATCAAGAGAAAGATTTGTGCCCAGGTGCCTTTAAATGTGTGTGTGTGTGTGTGTGTGTTTTAAATAACATATCAATAGTGTTTGTGACCAGGTGAATCAAGCTGCTGATTCTGAAATGATCATTCTTCCTAAATTTCAGATCAATCAGCGTAGTGGTTTTGTGCAAGAGTATGATTTATAGTTGGGAAGTTTCCAGAAAAGGGTGCATTTATCTGGGCAATTGTGTTATTTCTGGGCAATTGTTATACAAGCAGCATCCAATACAGAGATGGTCCTGCGTAAGAAAGCTGCAAGAAGGCCATGAACATCAGACATTTTCCAAACAAGTTCCTTGTGGGACAGGCTCCCACTCCCCACAGACCTCAGCACAACGCGAGAGAACGAGAGAGAGCGAGAGAGAGCGAGAGAGAGCGAGAGAGAGCTCTGATCTAGGGATAGAATGGAAGGAGACATCCATTCAGCTTGCCATTTAAAATAAACTTAGGTCATTTTATATGCTTGAACCACTATACGAACTGGTACTCAGTTATCTTTCAAAATTCACACTCCTCCGAATTTTGAAACAAAGTTCTCCAATTCAAAAAAATGTGCACTAAATGCATCCATTAGAGAAAATCATGTTCAGAATGCACTGCATTAGGAATTTGCGCTAAGCAAAAATAAATTGTGCTAAGCAAAAATGCATGTATTAGGGAAAATGTGCACAAAATGTTTATGACTTTCATGCAAATTTACAAAAAAAAAAAAGTAACATGTGGGATGCACCAAATTGAAGATTGGAAAAGTCCTCCTAGCTCAAGACAAAGTAGAGCTAAGATTTGAAACATGAAAAATGAAAGGAACTGGTTCATCCATCCTTACTCTGAACACTGAAAGTTCCTCTTTCACCGGGATGGACAGCCAGTCCCTGTACTGGTTAGAATGGCCGTGCTCGAAAATACTAGGAGGGGGTTTAAATGCTGAACAAAGGGAACTGGGAAATGCACCATCTGCAGATGAAAGAGAAGCTGAGATGGGGCCGTATAGAAATGAACTCTCTAATAACCACAATAATTTTAAATCTTTCTTCTCCCCTCTCCAAAGGCTTGTCAATAAGAAAGGCATTCCAATCTGTGCCAACCCGCAGATGTCTTGGGTGAAGAAGGCAATGACAGTCTTGCCGCACAAGATGAATTCATCTTGAAGATGGATGCAACTGGTGTCATGGAGCGCATGGTGACCGGCAGGTCCTGCTTGGAGCGACTGGCAAATGGGCTGTATTTATTGCTAGTGAATTGCCTGTGGATGCTTGGCTGCTCCAGCCTGTCCATCCCTGCTCGTGTTTTCTCTCCCTCTGGGGCTGCTGCGCCACCCCAGCTCTCTTCAGCGGGGAAAGACTGGGAGGGTTTCAATATTTGCAAGTGGGGGAATGTGAAGCTGGCAGGGCACCCCTTTCTGCTTTGCTACAATGGGAACATCCCTACGGGAGACCCACCAGCCTTGCAAGAAAGAGCGTTCTGCCAGCTGACGGCGTGCATACCCTGCATTTCCTGCTGCGGATGCGTGATCATCTTGCTTCTCTGGAAGGCTGCTTTGTCCAACCAAACGGCTGTGATCTTGCTTTGTCCCGTAGTATAAACAAGACTGATGGGATGTGCATTTAAAGAGGAATAATAAAAGGAAGAGCTGTGACATGCACCCGGTTTCTCTCGTGTCATCACTAAGTCTTGTTCCAAACAGGGAGGGATGAAGAGGGACCCCAAAGGCACTTTCCATTGCAGCGTTTGCACACAAGTAGGCCTGCAATTGTGCTCCCACAAGCTGGTCGCTGGTTGTCATTTGCACAACATCACCAGGTTTCAACCTCCTGCCACTTACTCTTTCTGGAAAAAAATAGAGTCCCCGGAAAGTGCTGGTCCTGCCACAGCGGTGGGGTCCTTCTGGCCCCAGCTCACCTCCTTGACCAGACGAGGCCCTCTTAAGATGACCTGGGGCTTGGGCAGAGGCCTTCCTTCAGGAAACCTGGCCTCCCGCTCTTCGGGGCTCCGTGAACCCTTTGAGTTAAGCCTAGAGATGGACGGGCAGCCAGTGTTGAACATAATACGATCACGCCGTTCATAATCTCGCTGCCCCATTTGGCCTAGTTGAAATGCTCAGAGCATTTCCAAAGGCAGCCCCATGGTGATGCGGCCGAACGGGAAGGGCTCAGAATGCAGGAGGGTGGCTAGGCTCTGTCGCTTAGGATGGGACTGCAGCTGGTTTAGCAGCCTAAGCTGATAAAAGGTGCGCTGCCGTCATGCTGTGAGCCTGGGGCTTTGCCCCCTGGATCAGCTTGCATTGCGCTCAGCCGGCCACAAGCAGTGCCTCCATCTCGCCCAGGTTCAGTCCCGCGTCCTTTGCTGCCATGCAACCTGCCCAGCCCAAGCCTCAAGCGGCCCAGCCCCCCAGGTAAACGCAGGGATCCCCTGCACTCGAATGCGCCGGTCGCTGACTGCCACGCCTGGATCCGATGCGACGGAGGCATAGAGCTGAGCGCCACCTCTGTCCTCCGTCCATGTCGCTGGACAGCTTTCTGCAATGGTTTTCTGTAGACGCTGAATGGTGTAGGACGTACCTGGCTGGCCGGCATTAAGCCGGGATGGGCTGGTCATGTCTCCAGGCATTAGCAATGCTAATTAGTACTGCCTCCAGGCATTAGCAATGCTAATTAGTACTGCCTCCAGGCATTAGCAGAGCCTCCACATGGCCAGGGATTAAGAGGAACCCCCCTCCTGAGCACCCAGCCCAAACCTCAAGCGGCCCAGCCCCCCAGGTAAACACAGGAACCACCTGTATTGAAATGTGCCAATCAGCAACTGCAGTGGGAATTTCAACCCAATAAGCCCCTGCTGTCATCGCTCCCTGGTCTGCAGGGGTATGGAAAGCGACTCTGTCACGCACTCGGGGTCGGTTACCATTTTGCTGCAATCGCACTTTATGCTCGTGAATAAAGTCCAGTTTTGTACCTCTCGTTCCCGTCATGCTTGATTGGGCGAGGTGTGCCAGGTGTGGACCCCTCGAGTCCTTCAACAGCCTGGGGGATAAAAAAGACTGCAAGAGGAGAGATGAGTGACCACCCAGTACCAGCTTTGGGAAGGGACCATCCAAAGAGGAATGGAATCGCTGCCGTGCAGAGCGTCCAGCTGCGCTTGGTCTCCAGTGATGCTGAGATGTTCGGTGATCTTCTGCCGTCCCTCTCCGTGGCCCAGAGGGCAAAAATCCGCACGCTCAGCACTGGATGACGCGGAGACGGTCCAACACAGGTGGACACGAACATGACCTGTACACAAGACAGGACGCGACTGCGCGTGGCACTGTGGCTGGATGGCTCTTCATAGCACACTCAAATGCGAATTGATATCTGAAGAATTCAGAGTTTATTTTATTATGCAGGATATATTTAAAATATTTAGTGAGCCAGTGTGGTGTAGTGGTTAAGAGGGTGGGACTGGGACTCAGGTGATCTGGGTTCGAGCCCCTGCTCGGCCAAGGAGCCCGCTGGGTGGCTTTGGGCCAGTCACAGACTCTCAGTCCAGTCTGCCTTGCAGGGTTGTTGTTGGGGGGATAGGACTGAGAGCAGCAGGAGGAGAATGATGAAAGCCACTCTGAGGTCCTTGGAAGGAAAAAAGATGGGACATACATCTAATAAATAATGCAAATGCATGAATGAAACCATCCTGACATTAGAAAGTACAGAGAGCCAGTGTGGTGTAGTGGTTAAGAGCGTGGGACTGGGACTCAGGCGATCTGGGTTCTAGTCCCTGCTCGGCCATGGAGTCAACTGGCCGACTTTGGGCCAGTCACAGACCCTCGGCCCAACCTACCTCACAGGGTTGTTGTTGTGGGGATAAGATGGAGGAGGAGAGATGATGTAAGCTGTCTTGAGCCCTTTCCAGGAAATAGGCAGGATATAAATCCATAAATAAATAAAATGTAGAGAAAGAGCAAACTGTGGCCCCGAAGGTTCCTGATTCTGCATTTGCCTTTTAAATATGAGAAGAGGCATTCCAGGGGGAAGAAATTCGCGAGTGGGGAAAGCTGCTTGATTCGCTCCCTGCACATGCCTCTCCAGATGATTTAAAGCCAGATTCCTTCTCTTCCTCCCCAGCTCAAGAAGTAGCTCTGATCTCAGAGAAACCAGCTTGAGTCGGATCAGTGTAGTAAGAAAGGCTACACCGGGGTGCGGATCCGCAGGCCTGCGGGCCGAGTAAGGCTGGCTGGAGCTTCATGGTCCACTTGTGTGCCAAAGATGCTGCCTCTCAAGCCAGACGAAGATTTGGTTAAACATGGCCTGCCCTTGAGAAGTCTCCAGCTCATGCCTCCTTCTCCTCTGGCCAGTGCAGCCGGTGCTGTTCTCTGTCCCTTCCTAGAACATACGCAAACCCCGCTGGATCACACCCAGGTCCAAGCCGGCTGCCTGCAGGATCCCTCCAGCAGGACGGAAGCAAGGCCTCCCCGCCCAAGCTTCTCCGCAATGGCGCCTGCAGGCTTGCCACTTCCGGCGAAGGAGGTAGCCCTTCGCCAGCGCGGCTAGTACCGTGGATGGCCTCCTCCCTCATGGATCTGGCCGGTGTCCTACGAAAGCCATCCAGATTGGCGGCCATCACAACCCCTTGGCCTTCAGTTCCACCCCCGCTAGAGGGAAGCATTTCTGCAGTGCAATTTAACCCTTCTCTGGGAGCCCTCCCTGAATGATATTAGGAGGATGAGTACCCGGAGGAGGGCTTTCTCTGCAGTGGTGCCCCATCTATGGAATGCGCTCCCCAGAAAGGTCCGCCTGGCGCGGTCGTTTTTGTTTTTTCGGCGCCAGGCGAAGACCTTTTTATTTAAAACTTATTTTAAATAAATAATTTAATTTATTATGGAGGATTTAAACATTTTTAAGCCGAGATGCACCAGGTTTTAATATTTTTAGTGTATAAATTTTTATATGAATTTGTTTGTTTTTGTTTTTGTTGTGAGCAGCCCCGAGGCTTTGCTGCGATGGGGGTGGCATAGAAATGTTTTAAATAAATAAATAAAATGCTCGGGCTGAAAGAGCAGAAACGCCCCTGGATTAGTCCCGTCCCCCATCTGTCCATTGGCCTCCGCGGTGGCACAGCCCCCGCCCCACTCGCACCACAATGGGAAGTACGGAATTTGGAGCAGGAACCAGTGCACCCAGTGGCTTGCCCCCACGCCAGCAGCACTGCCCTTACATGCTACAGCGGCAGGTTTCATCCCGCCGCCTCTCCCCACACCCCCGAGGAAGATGCGTGGGGGAAATGCTTTGGCCCAAGCCCCGGGCCAGGGGAGTAGCTCCTGGCCAGCGCCCTCCAGAGGTCCTTCCTGCTGGTGAACAGCAGAGGGCGACCGGTCCTTGGGAAGAGCGGACTTTCGCTTCTCCCTGCAGGGAGGGCCCTGCTCTGCCACCTGCTGGAGGAAGGTGCGCGACTGCAGCAAGACCGGCCTGGCTGGAGCAGGGCTCGTGGGGGAAATGCAGAGTGGGTGCCCCTTGGCCATGAAGAAGCATCCTGGGGAGGGGAGGGGAGGGGAGGATGTCCCGATCCTCCTTTGCAACCCACCCTTTGCTCTTCTTTCTATTCCTATAGCAGAGGGGTGGGGCGGGTATCTGTATCGGGGGGGGGGGGCAAAGGCAGAGCAGTGGCAGCCCCAGATGGACCCAAAGCACCCGCCCTTGTCGTGACCTGCTTTCTCCCCCAAATGCCTTGCTTTGAGGAGGTCCTTCCTAGGAGCCAGGCTTGGTATGAGCAGCTGCTCCCGGGCCAGCCCAGAACGGCCCCAGGAGGAGAGCAGCTGGGACGGCTCTCCAGAGCACCGAGCGTGTGTGAGTGAGCGAGGCAGCACAGTGGCAAGTGGGGAAAGAGCCTCAGAACCTCAAGTGGACCAGTCCTGGGGCATTTCGGGATGCATCCTGGAATGAGGAGCGCCAGGGTAGCAGCTGCGGATGGGACAGAGGCAGTCTTGTCCTGGGGGCCACCGTAAAGCAGGTGCCAGAGCTGATTCTGAATGGTTGATGACCCATTGCAGGGGGATCGTCCTTCCGTCCTTCCGTCCTTCCATCCTTCCGTCCTTCCGTCCTTCCTTCCTTCTCTCTGCAGGGGAACAGCTGTTGAATAAAATAATTGTTCCCTCCTTGTGCATAAAATGATAGAGGCGAGGCTATCACAGAATCAATGCATACATAGCAACAATCCTTGTTAGGAAAGTTAGGGTATCACTCGCACTTCCCTCCCATTTCCTGTGAAATAGAAACATAGAAACAGAGCGAGTCAGAAGGGGCCTCCCGGGCCATCTAGTCTGACCCCCGGCTCCAGCCGGCTCCGCTCATTCTTCCTCTTCTTCTGCCATGCTTCCTCTCATGAGTCCTCTCATTTCCATACTAGAGGATCATGCTAGATGGCTGTAGAGGAAGAGGCCTCCAGGACCTCTGGAAAACCTCCAGATGCCTTCACAGAGTCTTGCTCATCTTGGGGGTTCTTCCAGAGGTCAGGCAGGTGCATACGATCCCCCTCAATCTTTCCAAGACGTTGCTTTTGTTTCACTTCTGCTAATGAACCATGCTGCACTCATGCCCACTT